GCATCTTGGAAATTTTTCAAAATAAAAAAGTAAAAAAGTATACTGTAGAGAAGTTGCATTTGGGATAATATAAAACCTCTTCCAATAAATAAATTTTTTAAAATTCATATAAAATTTCAAAAAATATATATATATTTCCTAACGTGCTTCACAATTTCAGTACTAACTTGTAACTGTAAATAAAGGCAGAATGCAGTTGCGTACAGTTGAGCTACCAACATTTATTGATAACAATGCAAACAGTATATAAATTATTATTATTAAAATATCGTCTGAAGCATGAAAAACTGTCCTCTGTTAATTAAAGCAAGTAAAAAACCGAGCATACTATATAAAAGATATATTGAATTTCTTAATTCTGGTAAAAAATCACACAGACAGAGTAAAAGTAATATTTCAAAGTAGCAAAAAAAAATGTGTCGTTAAATTTTTTGAAAAAGAATTTCTTGTTCTCCAAAATGACAAAATCTGGAAATGGGATTTTTTAGTAGCGAGAATTACGAGCCGGAATGAAATGTAAAAGTGAGAAAAACCTACTACTTTTACAGCAGTCCCATGTATTTTTCATGACAAAACAATCCTGAGCCGCTTTTCAAAGCCACAGAAACCTGGTATAAAAATCCAATGTGCTCAAAAAGTTCTCAAAAATTTATCCTTTTCCGTTTTATTTCCCTCGTTTACGTTTGTTTTTTTCTCTTTTAAGATCGATTAGTTTTCAAAGTTTTTAACTGAAGATCCGTCCTCAAACATCTCATACAAAAACCTAATTCGTAGATCCTTTTCTTTAATCCGACGTCTTATAATGCTTGCATTCACTGCTATCATGGTCTCCTTTGCAGACACATGGCATTTTCCTTACCTCTGGTTTGTTTACCGTAACTTTATGAGTAGAAGAATTCCAAAAAGATGTTGATTTTGTTCCTAGTATACGACGCTCTTTGTCGGTTCTTGAAATTTTTCTCGCGATTTCTTGACCAGCAGTTTCTTTAGCTTCATTTGAATGATAAAAAATTTCCAAAATTCTGTCTAAAGTTTATTCCTTATCCCCTTCTAGTCTTATTTCTTCAACTCTATAAATTATATATGGCAAAAGTTTTTCCTAAATGATCATAATGATAGCACGTTGATCAATCTCTTGCTGAAAGCTTCTCAAATTTTATAGTTTTTGTTTGATTGCCTCTACCATCATTCTCAAACTGCTGACGTCTTCCTTCAAAAGCAGAAAGTTTTTTAACGTTTGATGTACCTGCCACTTGATATCGGATGTCTTCACTTCTATGCTTCTTCTTTAGGATATCTGTCGCATCTTGATAAATGTCCTCCCTTCTTGGTAGATATTCTACCGCCATCTTTGCTCTATCCTCAAGCAAGGAAACCAAAAAGTGAAAATAATCAATTTTTCAAAAATTGTTATTGCTATGAATAGTGTAAAAAAAATAATCTCAGAACGAAAACTATCTTAACGAATTGCCACTAAAATTAGGTCACTCCATCTCCGGCATTTTCAATCTTATTGGGGACGATTCTGAAGCTCCTACCACATTCATATTTGATCCTTCTTGACGTTCCTTTTAAGGTTCTTTTGGTGAATCACTTCCCAATCTAGCCGAAATAATCCTTAGAATTCCACGTGCCTCAAGTAAGCGTTTTCAAAAATTGGATTTCTCATTTCATTTTTTGAACACTTCCGTTTCCTCTTTAAACCGTTCACCTTTTAGCCTAGTATCGTTTGGGCCGATTTATGGTAATTGGCTATAATAGCGAAACTCTTCTTATTGCTCAACTTCTTTATTTTCACTCCACTCCACTTG